CATTGGATAAAAAGATGAATATAAAATCAAGAGACTAATGGAACGAATTGAGAACCTCCTCCATTTCGGACACATCGCGTAATCCCCATTCAGGATTAATACTACGAATCTTTCGATCGAATACCACATTACTTTCAGGTGTTATTTGTCCGTCCACAGAATATGCACCATATGTGATCAGTAGACCTGATTTTGATTTCAATAGTTTACCGGATGCCTGTAATTAAATATGGCTATTAACTACAGATGATGAGACTGTTAACGGAACCTTCAATTGATGAAACGACCATATATCGTTCAAAACAGAAGTTTCCGATATGGCGATTTAGATAGGGCTCAAATAATTCTCCAAAATTGTCAATCTCAAAATTGTCATATTTCAAGAGGCTTCAAGAATCATCAGTGAAATGAACTCCGAAATAATATTCAGAAAAGTGCTTTTGTGTGATAAACAGTTTCCATTCCATGAACAACAATCAAGCCCGCAATCCTTTCCACTAAAATTCAAGTTGAACTCACCTCGAACAAGCCATCAACAGCAGCATTCGAACTGACATGAATCATATTAATGTTAATAATCACGTCCACACATCCACAACAAAAATCTTCTGGTAAACACCATGTATCAAACGGTTTTGATGCATCCAATATTAACGGCTGTTTGATATTCGACAACTGAATTTGATTAGTGTTGAACTCATGTTTATGATTAGCATACATCTTTTTTGAGTTTTATCATGCAAACTGTTTCAATGAACTATTTTTAATCTCACACAGTATATTTCAATTTTTAATATTTCACATCTAAAGTTTAACTATTTTTCGTTATCATTGAAGCGATATTCGGAAAAGATATTAAAAATTTGCTGTTCGAAATTGAAAACTACATTTAAAGATTTGTCATAGTTGTGAATGACAGTCATATTTTCAAATTTTCATTCAATCGCATTTGCTTCACATCACCAATTCCTTCGGATACCGTTTTTTGCACGAATCTGTTCGGATGAAAGGCAATTATTCTGGCCAGACAAGTGTTGTACATTACAATTGCAATGAAAAAAACATGCATTGATAACGATAATCTAGAGGGGAATGATGAACTCTGAAGTGCAGAAGCTTACTTGATTATTAGCAAGAGTGGCATTTAGAGAATTTACTGAATCTGCATCAATTTCAGTTGGTTGAAAAACTGCATGAGGAAAATGTCTTGCAAAATGTTCAACGTGTCGACCCGTTCCAGAGCTGATCTCTAGAACCTATAACATGGCTGAATGTATCCTTGTGCATACAAACAAATAAATAACCAAAGAAATAAGAATTTGCAACGGAACATTTCAGGGAAATCTCAAATTTCTATGTCTGAATATTTATTCGTGTCGCACCGCCGACCATGAAAAATATCAATATTACAATCAAATGACGCTCGAAATGAACAAACTGAATCCATAAAAAGTTTGTTTTATGAACCGTCTCGCTTTATTGACTTAGAACATAACTCTATTCGCGACGCTACAATAGCTATGAGACAATTTTGCACAAATTCGATAAAATTATTCATGTTAAATAGCATCAACATAGGAAGTGATCCAAATTTGACCTTCAATGGCGATTGATCCATATATTTCTGCAATATCTCCAGGATGTGATGCTTGTTCCGATCGGCTGCTTCTTCGGACTTTTTGGCACTGCCATCAAATGGACATGGATGAGTCGGTTGCGTTAGCTGTTGTTTAGATGATGACATCGACGAGAAATCTCGTTTAAAAGTTGAAGTGAAATGAAATGAATATAAATATGGTAACGTTCGTTGACTTGAATGATGAATGGTGAAATTGACAGCTTGAATTGGTATTCTCCTGAATGCCGGCACCAGAAAATACCTTACTGAATTCAGTTTAGTTAACATTTTGTGAACTGAATTAGTTCGAGCAGAACGTGACAATATTCAGCCGCAACCTGAGGCAGCGAAGTCCGACCGCAAATTGGCTTAACAGATAGCAGAATTTCAAGACGATTGCTCGGTGGCGACAGTCTCGAACAATAGTAAGTATCGATCAAGAACAGGTTGAGGTAGACACTAGAATTGAACCGAGTGGAATATAGAAACATAGACATGAATCAAAATACATTCATTGGGTGGCACTATTGATGGGAATTGTGACGGACACAGAGTATTGGAGGAATTTCTAATTTCGAAGGAATGATGCAATATTGACGAGAACCGGATCTGATGAAAGCAATGTACAGGAAAATAACATTCAAACCATGACGATAAAATGGTGTCGAAATGTTAAATTCAAAACTAATTGTTTTCTGCAATTTTGCAGCAGTCAAAATTTTCACAGTTATCTCTTGGATTTGGATTTTCCACTGTTGTTATCTCTTTGTTATTAAGCATTTGCGTATCTTTTTATTGTTTCAGATTCTATCGAACCTTTTAAAAACCAAAATTCTGCGCCTGAATTTTCAGTTTTCAGCTCATATTCAATTATCCAAAAGTCTGCTTCAAAATTAAAACTGATCCTAGAATTCCAGAAAAAANATTTACAGAAGATATTTGCAAAGTGTATTCCCTTGACAAGTTTATTGGAATTCAATCTTTTTTTTTTTGAAGTCATTCGGATGCTTTAGAATATAATTTATCATAAGGGTGGTTTACAGGGAATACAATGATAAATCTTCATTGGAAAACATAGGAATATGAAAAAAAAAGAGTGTATGAAATCCAAGAAACATTTTTTTAGTTAAAAATATCATTATACGAATTTCTCATTAAGTGTTTTCTCTCATAAATTCTCTAATTGCCTAATATGTTCGATGAACAGATCACTTATGCCTCATACCCTGTTTAATGTGGACATTATAAAAGTTCATTTTGACATTAGGAATTTATAAAAATATTTTTACAAAACAACAATCAAACATTACATAACAAATGAAGTAACAATGAAATCAACAAAACCAAATGATCAGTCATATGATCGTCAATGAGTAAAACTTAAAACAACAACGAACGACTGATATTCTCTGATAAATTTTACATAATATTTACCAAAATAAGACTCATTGTTTTCTGGTTAAAGTACGGAATGCACTGTGAGCTACAACATACTTCTACAATGTAACACAACAG